GGTAAATGCAAAAAATTTTTTTGGGAATATGAAATTGAATTTATCAATGATTGATTTTCTTGTCTAATTGAAATTTTAATATTAATAAGGAACTGTTCCTAACATAAAGATAGTGTCATTAGATTCACTATTTTCAAAAACAAAAGCTACTCCTCATCTATACTATAAACCTGTGTCGTCAGAAGATGCAAAATCAAGACTTAAAGTTATGGAAAGAAGAAGGAATAGGAGAAATTCATAGATCTGATAATTGCAATAAAATTTCATCACATTTAAGAATAATTATGTTTTTCTCTCTTCTCTCTCACACAAAAGGATTTTTACAGGAGTTTTATTAACAATAATCAAACATTTGTTTCTTGAGTATTCATTCGATAATAATCTTTAATTTATATATATATATAATGTATATGTATATGTATACCGTTTTGTATTTTATATTAAATTTTATTGCTATTATTAGACATTTATCGATTTAATTCAAGCATTAAAATTTTATTTATATACATCTCTTTGGATTTGTAGGGAAAAAAGAAGGTAAATGATATATTTAATAATTTATAATAATTCATTTATTATTTTATTTGTATTTAATAAAATATTTCTTTTTAGAAAAAACTAATGGAATAAATAAAATAAATTCTGAAATAAAACTTGTCAATTGATTATTTCTTGTGTCATACCTTCCTTCTTCATTAACTTGTCATCATGATATATTAAATTTTATATATGGTAATAGAGAATTCACCAAAGGAATTAAAGTTAAATATTACTGGTGAAAAGGAAAAAACATTTTTTGTTCCTACTTAAACATTTACATTCAAGAATTTGAATATAAAAATTATGATCAAAGATCAAATAATAAAGAAATTGTGTTTGTTCAGTGTAGTTGTATAAAAATAATTCTTCCTTATTAGTCAAAATATCTATGCTGTCATTTCTCTTGGTTTTTTGAAATAGGAATATGGAATGTATTACTATAATTATCATTTTTTTTTTTGATGAGATCATCAGCTAAAGTTGTGGGCGAAACTTCAGAAATCAATCGACAGAGTTTTGACAGGTTACATAATAATTGTTTATTAAAGTTTCGACAAGTTTCGCATTTGGGGGTTTTGTCAATCATCAGAATTTTGACAAGGTATATACTAATTGTTCATTAGAGTTTCAACAAAGTTTTGACAGTCACTAAGAGGTTTCGGCAAGTAACCTTATCATTAGCATTGTAGTAAAGTCACTTTCTGCATATTTGAGAAATAGCATACCTCCACCAATATTAACTCATAATATTGCTGATCCTGAATCAGATCCAATCTTGACACAATTACACCGTCTGGAACTAGTTAATAATCCAGAAGATCGTGTAAAAGTTATATTTCATCCTGAATTTCTAACTTCAAACAACCCTCTGATTGGCTTAGATTATGAGGATTTTGTACGTGGTTGTCATCTAGGTGTGTTCCCAAGTTATTATGAGCCATGGGGTTACACTCCTGCTGAATGTACAGTAATGGGTGTCCCATCCATCACAACCAATTTATCGGGTTTTGGATGTTTCATGGATGAAATATTGGAAAATTCATCAGATTATGGTATTTATATAATTGATCGAAGAATGAAATCCACTGATGAATCAACTCAACAATTGGTTGATTACATGTTACAATTTTGTCAGAAAACAAGACGTCAACGTATAAATCAACGTAACAGAACAGAACGATTGTCAGATTTGTTAGATTGGAAATTGGTTGGTATGGAATATGTCAGGGCAAGAAAATTGGCATTGCATAGAGCATATCCAGATTCATTTATTAATAATAATGATGATAGTGAAGGAGGAAGAAATTTTGATCTGCTCAATAATAATAATAGCAATAATAATAAGTTCAGAATATTAAAATTCCAATTTGCTCCAATATCACCTGGAATCACTAATCCTTCAGATACCAGTGAGAGTAACAGTATGAATGA